TTTCCTTAGATAGATCATCACAGCAGGATTATTCCCTTAGATACCTCTGTGCTCTATTGGCCAAACTTGCATTGGTTAATGTCATGGAGTTTTAGGAACTTCTTGGCAGGCTTTGGTTTGATTAGATCAGCCATCCAACTGGTGTGCCCGCCATGGGGGTGCCTGCCCAGGCCACTGTCTTCACCACTGACCTTCAAGCAACCTCATCCAGTCTTGTGACATACTGTGTGATTTACATGCTCTACGTCTGCCACCGTGTGCTGGGGGAGGCCAAAGAATAGATGACAAATTGAAGGAACTCAGAGTGGTTCAAAATGGCCAGAGCACCAGGCTCAGGAGAGAGGGAAGGAGGAAGTGGCATTCAAGAGGGAAGCAGCTCATGCGGGTTCTGGAAAGCCATATTGAGGTTTGGATTTTTTATATATATTTATTTTTTAGTTGTAGTTGGACTCAATACCTTTATTTCACTTATTTATTTATTTTTTTAAGAGAGAGATTTTTATTTAATTTTTGGCGGTCACAACATCTTTGTTGGTATGTGGTGCTGAGGATCAAACCCGGGCCACATGCATGCCAGGCGAGTGCGCTACCGCTTGAGCCACATCCCCAGCCCTCACTTATTTATTTTTATGTGGTGCTAAGGATCGAACCCACGGTCTTGCACCTGCAAGGCAAGCGATCTACCACTGAGCCACATCTCCAGCCCGGGGTTTGGATTTTAAATCCACTTAATATTTAATCAGGGAGGTGACGGGTTCGTATCCGTATTAAACAGCTCACTCTGCTGAGCCTGGAGAAAGGGTTTGCAATAGGAATCCCTCACCAGGAAAGAGAAGGCGGCGTGAGCTGAGCTTGGTAGTCCAGGCAAAGCAGAATGTGCCTCATCAAGGGCCAAGAAAAAGCCACATGGAGTCTTTTAATGTCTTCCCTCCCTGCACCCTGGAACTCTGGGGCTGTCTGCCTCAGCTGAGCTCCGGGCTCCCACTTTTAATCTGTGCTACTGCTGTCACTTCATGCAAAAGGAACCTGAAAAAATAATGAGCCTGCTCTTCTCTCACCAAGCAGTCGAAAAACAGCAACAACTCAATGTCCCCATGCCTGTTTACTCAAAATCAAATCATTTGCATTCTGCTCCCCTTTCCACATACTGCCCAAGGTCAGCCTCTTTGCCTGCTCCACAGTTACCCACCACACTCAACCTGCACGACCTCTGCCAACCCTCAGCTGACCTTCTTTACCAAGGTGATGTGATTTGAAATAGTAGCCGTACTGTAATTCCAGGGAGAAAAAAAAAATGTCCTGATTCTATGATTAGGTCATCTTTTTCCACTCCAACCCAGGAGAAAGAAGTCTTAGGAAGCATTCAAGAGAGGAATCAAGTATTAATTGTTGGTCCCTTGAGTTCTTCTTTCCAAGGCCAAAAATGTATGGTTATCATCTCTCATTACCTCTGCTGAGTTGAGTAGAAATCAATAGCAATGTTTCCATAAGACCAAAATATCCTCATAAAAACACCTAGAATATTTCCTGGCCAAAAACAACCTACATGAGAACAATCAGAACCAAAATTTTATTGAATCTTAGCCCCTCACTGCACACACATGGTTTCTTTGCAGCAAATTAGGCCGCACCCGTGTATTCCTTGGCAGGTAATACATGCTCCTAAGCAAACCTGCTCAGACTGGGTGCCACCCATGCTAGCTGGACCTTGGAATGCTCCAAGCAGTGTTTTCTCTACACCCTACAGAGCACAGTGCCACCTGGCACTGCAGTTGCTCCACCAGGCTCACCCCCATGCTCTGCAGAGTTCACTGTGCCAAAGCCATGCTCTTACAAATTGAAGAGATAGTCTCTCTCCTGTTATATACCCCAGGGTTTGACACTCCTCAGAGCTCCTGATCTTAAGTTTTCATTTCCACCCATCTCTTCTCCATGGGAATCAGATATGATCTGTCTGTGGCTGGTCTGAGAAATGGAACTGAGAGATGAACACCAGTCTGTGATCTGAACTGCCCCCACATCTCCTGCAACCATGGCTGTGACCAGTCTTTCAGTGACAGCCCAAATGCAGGTGGGCCTGCCTCTTCCAGTCAGCTGGCATATCTGAATTGCACCTAAACTTGGGCTAGACCCCAGGCCACAAATAACACATTGAATTAGATATTCTTTTTTTTAGGTTGTCAAAAAAGAATGTAAGTATTCCATCCAAAGAACTAAGGAAAAACAGATAACACATTTCAGTGAAGATGCCTGGCTTTTGTTGAGCAAAAAGGGCTCAGTACTACAGAAAAACCACTGCTTTCATTCAATAGGCTAAAATATCCAGTTCAGCCAGCAAAATGACAGCTGAGGAGGTCAGCAGAACCTTCTTGCATTTAATAATTCCTAATGTGTTAAAATTTGCTATGTTTGACTCTCTGAGTCCCTCAAGGGACTGGAACACATTCCAACCTTATCACAAAGGAGGAGCAGTCACTAATTTAGAAGATCCCTTTGTCCTGACTGCTAGGAGTGTCGTATGAACAAGTCTTGGGAAGGTCAAACCCATTGTCTACCAAGCATAAGTGACTCCAGGCAACTAAGTTAGTGGGCTTCATTAAAGCAGGAATTATAAATGCCAGTAGAGAATACATACCTTTCTAACTGGAAGGGTTCTAGAACCCTTCTTTGAGTCTACAGAGGTACAAGGAACATGCTTCAGACATGTGCATAAAGACCTTCTCTGATTGAAGGACTTTTCATGCCTGTTAGTACTCATCACTCTATTCCCTAAAACGGACATTCAGTTGAACTTTGTTAAAATAATGCTCTGTGATTTATCATTTTTCCCTGTTTTTTTTAAACCGGATTGAACCCAGGGGCACTTAACCTCTGAGTCACATTCCCAGCCCTTTTTTGTCTTTTATTAGAGACAGGGCCTCCCTAAGTTGCTGAGGCTGAGTTTGAACTTT